GATATTGCTCTTCTGTCCCATTCACGGAATCAGATGCAAGATAAATTAAATATACTTAATGCGAGATCACAGCAGCTTGGTCTGAAAATCCTTAAAGGAAAGACAAAGATAATGAGAATAAATCAAGCAAATAGTAATGTGGTTTCTCTTAATGGCACCCCACTACAAGACGCGGAGTCGTACACCTATTTGGGCAGTAATGTAGATAAAGATGGAGGAACTGATAGAGATATTAAAATAAGAATACAAAAGGCAAGAGGGGCTTTCATAGCACTAGGGAATTTGTAGAGGTCAAAAGAAATTAAAAGAAATACTAAACTAAAAATGTTTAATTCTAATGTCAAATCAGTACTATTGTATGGGGCGGAAACATGGAGAACAACCAAGGCAATTACTAATAAATTACAGACATTCATTAACTGGTGCCTGCACAGAATAGAGGGAATAAAATGGTATGATAGAATAACTAATGTAGAACTTTGGGAGAGAACTAAACAGGCTCCAGTGGATCAGGAGGTGAGGAAAAGACGCTGGCGTTGGATAGGGCACACACTGAGAAAACAAGAGAACAGCATAACTAGAATGTCTTTGCATTGGAACCCACAGGGGCATAAGAATAAAGGAAGGCCAAAAAACACATGGAGAAGAGAGCTGGAGAATGAGGTTAGAAAGATTGGGAGGACATGGGGAGAAGGATAGCGAAGGATAGAACGAATAGGCGTAAGTTGGTTGAGGGCTTATGCTCCATTGGGGGATAGAAAGGCAGAAGAAGAAGAAGTCTGAAATACACCTTCTAGTGATTAGCAAGTATTATCATCACAGCACTCCGGAAAGATCTATAGGTGCTCTGATCTCCTCCTCAAAATCTCCACAAGTGTAAAACGACTGATGACGCCTGTTCTGTGTTGTTTAATAAAAACGTCCCCTTAGTGAAATGTTCATTTCTTGCAGCTCCAGGCTGCACCCTCATGTCTATCCGTCTAGACTGGGATATGGAGTCATGTCCTCTGGCATGCTCCTTGGTACAGTAAGTGCAGCGCATGGCATTGATAACATCCCTTCTGTCCAGTCCCCCGTGTGGGTTCCGGGGCCCCATTGTGGGGAAAACAAGAATAGACCCACTGCCTCCCCAAAAGCATGTCGTAAGAGTCGACTAATTGGGGAGCTTCCTTTGAAGTCGGAGTGCATCTGCCGGAGAGGCAAGGAACCAACAGTCTGTATTCAAGAGAATGAGATCTGTAAAACTGATGCACACGCAACACTCAGGTTCTGGAGCAGGACTGCAGTTCAGTAGTGGACGAGCAACCAGAACCTTCCGCCAGAGTTTACAGCTGGTGAACGCGAAGAAGAAGAAGAAGACTTCTGTCCAGTACTGGGTCAGCCATAGCACCCAGTGTCAGCAAGATAGTCTGCACGCTCATTCCCTCGAACACCCACATTACCTGGCACAAAGACAAAGGTTACGGCGGATATTCGTGTAGTGTTTAGTGTTGCAATCCATACTTGCCTGATAAATTAGGCTTGGATTTTTTTAAGCATATTCATCGAGTCACTAAGAATGCATACGTCTGTGAACTTTTGAGTACCAAGCCATGTTAAAGCCCTTGTTACAGCCACAGTTTCCATTGTAAGGCTACTAGTTGTAACAGTAAAGGCGCCTATCATCTCCTTTATGCTTTTCTCCCTTGAGCTTACTGTAAATGCCCATGCACTTTGCTTGCCCTTAATACATCTACTGTTCATGTCTAATTTTTCTAATTAGTTTAACGTATTTATCTGTCTCAAGAAGGGCCTCATTTGGGTTTTCAATTATTCCATAATACTCTTTGTGTTCTCATAAATCACACAACTTCGTTGTGGGTAAATGGTTTATTGATTTCTTCTGTGGGCATTGAGCACAGCTTCTTCATCTAAGTGCCCCACGGCTGTAAACTCGAGCAAAAAGTTCTGATTGTTCACGCACTTCTGAACTTTATTCTTGTTCTAGAACTCCCCCCCCCCCCCCCCCCGAAACCACATGGGGAGCATTGGGCACATACAAACACAGATTCTTATAGACCAATCTGTACTTTATTTATTCACTGTAAACAAAGAGAATCCTGGAGCTTTCGTGACAGTCCAATATTCTAGGGGTGGTATGGGTTGTTCATATCACCAGAGCTTTTCAGGTTAATTTTTTTTATTGGATTTTATTTCTGCCCCCCCCCCCCCCCCCCCCCCCCCCCCCATTTTTTTTTACATAAAATATCTCTAACCTTACTAAGATTCACACCCTGGTCGACCTCATAAGAGCCCTGGGTCCCTAACCATTCTGCCAGCTGATCCTCACACATACAACAACAGAAGAAAGAACCCAAAAAAAGACCCCAAAAAACAAAGAAGGGGACACATATTTTGTTATGTTTGCCTGATAGAGAGACATGCAGACAAACTGTCAAAACTAATAAACTATGACACTGAGCTTGTAACATTCAATTTATTCAATAAACCACATGGGCAGGTTAGAAACATTCACATTTTCTCACATAGATCAACACAAGATACACACTGGATCACTTCTAGCTCAGTGATTCATGCATACACACACACACGAATCTCACTCTTTAATAAGCTATGTGCTGTTGTTTTTTGTTTAGTTTTAGTTGTTTTTTTCTTCACAATTTTACATCCAGTAGTTTGCCATTACTTTATAAACTACACTTTCAAGAACAAAACCTTTTGGACTGGAAGCAACATCAATGAGGATTGAAGACAAGCAGAGTCATTTTGTTAGCAGACTCAGAAATTCAAATAAAAAGAATGACCAGAGCATGAAAAACTTAAAAATAAATTTAGATTATTTCATGAGCACATTCAAATCACAAACAAATCTTTGGTGCCTACCTTCACATACTATAGGGCTATTCAGCTAAGTTTATTCAGGAGCCAAAAATGTTGAAAATGAGGATAGTTGCAGGCAACAGGACCGAGCCCCACCATAGAAATATCAGTTGAGTTCAGTTAAGAATTGACATCAGAGCACTCGGGGAATTTCCATACATGCTCCATCCCCATCCTTAGCAGCCAGCACAGAGTTCCAATACTAATGGTGCCAGTCGTCGTCTGGTTGTATGTCTGTCTTGCCTTTCCTCTAAGAGTAGTGTGCCAGCCGAAGTCTCTGGTCACACCCAGGTGCAGCATAGTAGCCAGATGCTTTCCTGACAGCTTGGAGGTCTTCGATTCAAAACCATACTGAGTTGGATTCTGTCATAACTGACCTTGGATTCAGGTCAATCCAGCCTTAAAAGGGGTTGCAGGTAATATCATGGGTAAAGATTACAGGTGTGATGCTCATAATAACACCCCGACTGCCGACTGGTCTACATAAACATAAATCTAGCACCATTTGCCTAATGCGCCAACAGTCTTAATAAAGAGCCCTTTACTTTTGAAAAAACAAACTGGGAAAAAAAGTGGCCAGGAAGAGAACTTATTATCTCAACTCTCATACGATGACACAGGATATGTGAAGATCAGGGATTTTTTTCTTCCAGAAGCAAAGGTGCCAGTAGTACCACAAGGTGTCTAAAAAGGTGCCAGTACTCACCACAAAGTGTCTAAAAAGGTGCCAGTACTCACCACAAAGTGTCCAAAAAGGTGCCAGTACTCACCACAAAGTGTCTACTACAATAGGTCATGTAAGAGTCTACTATTTATGGAAGTCTCCTTCAAAGTCTGAGTGCATCTGCTGCATCTGCCTGACAGACATTCAGCAAAACCATAACTATTTACCTTTTATGACATGCTTGTTAACTCTCTGAGTCCCAAGGTGTTTAGCCTCAGAGGCTCAAGGGTTGGTAATGCAATTTTGAAATGTCACAAGTGTTACACATTAAAACAGACCATACTAATTCAACTGCCGCGCAACATACACATATACATCAAAGTGATCAGTGATTGTTGACGAATAATATTAGAATATTGTTATCAAAATAAATTGTATTTAACTATAAGTAATTAAACAGATGGTACGTTTAGAGAAATCAGTAAAAAGAAATAATTTTTCCACTAACCAACATGGCATTCAAGGAAAACTCGATAACATTTATCCAAAATGAATCACAAAATTAACAAGAACCACTTAGTAATGTATAAATAAAATAGAAACACAATCTATCCATTAGATCTATTTCCATATAAATTTTTAGAATACCAAAACAGAACCCTTTTATTGGTAAAGAAAAAATGACCTCCGAAAACAATTAGTAATTTTCACACAAAAACTAACTTTATAAAACACTCAACTTGCCGGTAATTTTCAAGCTTATGTTCCAAAATAATAAGTTAATCACACTAGACCTAACCGACACTGAATAATATTGTTTTTTATACTTAACATGTATTCTCTTTGTGCCAGCTGACTCTGTTACCATTGTAGACTTTGAGTGAGATGTATATCAAAGCTATTCCTCGTCAAATTTTGACTCTATCAATGACTGAAACAAGCCTCCTTCATAATTTTTCTTTGTCTGGCTTCAGATAAATCTGATAAACATGTGTTTTATTTGAATATGAGGCTTCTAAAGTCATAAATCTTGTTGGTATGGATGAATCAATCTGCTCGAAGGTCATATTGTTTTCACACAGACAGTGACTCGGTAACAAAGATGCTACATTTTATGCCTTACAACGTTTTCAAATATCCCAAATAATCAACACAACAAACACAAAGAACTGGAAATACCATTAAAAACTACCAGTTTTCATTGTTATACTGGCATGCTGTAAATCAAAAATCTTTACTGGTCACGCATTATTAAGCCGCTGGTTTATAACCGATAAGCGTGTGATGTGTTTCTTTGAACTCAAGAGTTAAGGACCTGTAGGTCTTTTCACCCCCCCCCCCCCCCCCCCCCTCCAAAAATGGACCAAGTATGTTGAGTATTGTAAACCTTATTCCCTAACCTCTGCACCACAACAGTGTAAACATTTCAGTTAAAAGAAAGCAGAAGACTTACCCATTATTTTTCAGAAACATAAAATGACATCTGATCCATGAGTTCGTCAATCTTTTCTTGCAGAGTCTCAATTATGTCGGACGACACAAATAAATGAGTGTCATCTAAATCCTGAAAATAAAGCAAAAATGGATGCAACATACCTCTTCATTTGTGAAAATCAGGAATAAAATACCTGACAAAGTCAGTGTTATCTTTGGAGAGAATGGTAATGGAGAGTATGGTTTCTATAAAACATCTGGACTTAAGTCTTGTTCCAGAACCTGAATTTTGCGTGCACATCCGATATAGTACATTTATTATTAATTTAATTTTTTCAACTACTGAATTACCACTTCAAATCAAATGCACTTATTACTAGGCTACTTATTACCTGCAACACGAATTTTCTGCCAAATTCATTTCTTTCGTCTAAATGTAAAAGAAACTGTTTCATGGCAGGATCGCATTCGACGAGAACTCCTTTAGTAACATTCACCATGTTTTGTGTTCGTGATAAGTATCTTCCTGTCGAAAAGAACGCGAGGAGTCTACACAGATATGCTCAACCTATTTGATTCTTCTTCGGTTTTCAGTCGTAAATGAAGTTTTGCAGTTTGTTTCCGTTCTGGCGTAATAATTTATCGGTATTTTTATACTGGGTTTATCGATTACTACAGCATTTTGCTGCTCTAAAAATGTAAAGAATGTAAGATTTTAGAAAACAAATGTATTTTTTGCTAATTTATAATTTAGAGTTTTAGTCTTTTTCTTCCTTTTCTCCAGCCTCCGCCTTTCAAAGGCCATTTTTTTTTTACATTATATTGTAGTTTACAGACAGGCTTCGATATACTGCACTTTGATCCAACATATCTTTAATCACCAACAAACAGCGGTTTGAATAGATTGCGAGACAGACTACTGGTTTGACATCAAGCAAGGAGTCCGTCAGGGCTGTGTGCTGTCATATTATTTGTTTAATATGTACGCCGAAAATATAATAAGAAATGTAAGAGATAATATAACCAGAGAGCAATATGATGCCCTAAATATTGGTGATCATGAAATGCCAGAGATCCGATATGCCGATATTGTTGTTATCGACATCACAGACTGGTAAAGAAAACGTAATAACCTCAACCCAAAGAAATAGTGAAAACCATAATTTTTATCCTAACATAGCAAAAACAAAAATAATGCATACAGATAAAACTAATACGGAGAAAGAAATATATGTTAATGAGGAAAGATCGGTCAGCCCTTTGAAGGTTGTAGAAAATTGCGAATATCTTGGGTCATTGATTTCAAACAATGGTGATACATTTTTTTTTAACTGAGATTTTTTGTTCATCCTGACCCTTACTAAATTCCACGATAATCTGGATTTTAAAAATGACTGCCACTCGAGCAAATCGAGATGAAAGAATGCAAGACATTAAACTACGACTATCAATTGCTCTTCAAAGACTAAAACAACTGAATAAATTATGGAGTGAAACAGGCAAAACTATAAAAATTAGATTTCTAAGAGCATGCGTCTTTTCCATTGCAACATACGCATGTGAGACCTGGACACTTACTAAACAAGCTGAACAGCTCATAAATGTCTTTGAATATAATTGTTATAGACGGGTTCTACGAATATCATGGGTGAAGAAAAGAACAAATGCATCCATACTTCAAGAACTGAATATCGTTGAAGACTGGCTTTAAAAGACGATAAAAGCTAGAAAATTGAAATATTTTGGTCACTTGAAACGTCACGAAAGTTTAGAGAGAACAATAATAGAGGGGTGTATGCCTGGGAAGAGAGGAAAAGGAAGGTCAAAGAGAAGATGGGTGCAGGATGTGGCGAATGATCTCCAGATGGGTGTATCGGATGCGGGACATCCTGCTTGTGATCGAGAAGTTTTCCGGAGACTTGTTTTGGGAGCAAGGTTCCGCAAAGGATATTCTACTGACTGACTGACCTTTTATGTTAAGGTCAAGTGAGGTTTTTATTCTTTTTGTCCCTCAAAATAGGTTACTGGAAGCCAGACGAGAATGTTGTTTTTATTTCGGTCTTTTTCGCGTTTCGGCGGAAAGTTCTGGTAGTTCATCCACCTCTGGACTTAAATCTTGGTCCAGAACCTGAATGTTGCGTGCACAACCGATTAACAGATCTGACTTAATTGCATGTAGATAGAAGCGGCATCAAGGTACTAGCGACAATCTTAAGCCGTTGTAATCTTCAGCATACAACGTTGAATCCCAACACTAGTACTTTGAGGCATGTGAATTACCGTCCGTGGCGATGGCGAGTTAGACTAGCAAGACTGGCTCGCATTAAGTAGTTTTTTTTTTTTTTTTACAGTTGGTGCACGGGGTTACAGGACGATTGTTGTCAGCACATGTAATTGACATTCTTCTGCTCAGCTCTCAACCTATCCGCAGTCATTTTCTCTTTTATCCATATTTCCTCCCTGACCCCCCCCCCACACACACACACACACACACTTTTGCGTGATATCTCCCTCCTTGTACTGCTCTCTACCCTTGCTCAACTACATTTACCGTGTATTATTTTAAAAAGTTACCAATTAAAAAGCTAAATAGAGGACAGCAAGATGGGCATATAAGCAGATGTTTACTTAAATACAGAAAAGTTTCAAGCAGACGAGCAAGGGGTAGGTATCAGAACAGATGGTGAAGTACGAAGAACCGGCGAGTAGTAGTCTAAAAGAGGGGGGAAACAAGAATAGACCCACTGTATACCTAAAAAAAAATTCCTAAGAGTAGACTAATTGGGAGCTTCCTGTGAAGTCGGAGAGTATCTGCCTGAGAGGCAAGGAACCAATAGTGGGGCCACAGAACCCACATGGAGTAGAACTGAAAGGACTGTCACAAAAGCCTAGCGAGAAAGTTTTCCCACATTTCCGTTTTAATGGCTTCTCGGCGTCACTTCTCTGTTTGCTGCCTGTAGGTTTGGGATTCTTCTTCTTGCTGTACTCGTGGGTAAAGACTGGTCGAAACGCTCAATCGACTCTGGGGTCGCTACTTGGTGTGCCTTACTCGGTCGTGAGCAGTCTCCCACAGAAGTCACGCCGTCTAGAAACTCACTACTCCACTCATATACTTGTTGAACTGACAGGCATACATCACCATACTGGTGATAAATGTGCCGATAAATTTCTATAGGTTTAATTTGTTCAGTTATTAATTTTTTTTTAACCGAAACGGAATGCTGCTTGTCTCTGGTGCATGTCAAATGTGGGTGGCCATCTTTAAACTGGCATTATGACGTCACCTTGTTCGTCTGCACTTTCTTGTCATGTGCTTAACACTCTTGGCATCCTTAACAGTATTGACATGTTACAAAACAACGCTTATTGTAATTTCCATCAAAATTTTAAGGTTTTCATTTAAAGCCCGTCACATCTTTTTATAGACCAATAAATAAACACATTCATCTGTGTTTACAAATTGTTCATTTTAAAAAAAATCCTTTTGTATCAGTGGAATTTTCCCCCCCCCCCCCCCCTCGTCAATCTTCCTAAAGTTTGTGTTAAGTGAATTCATTTCTTTAGATATACCAGTGGTAAAAGAACAAGCGAACAGATGTGCTAATTCTGCACCCGTTAGTGGTAAACCGATGCCTGACAATTTAAATGTTATCAAGGCTCTTTGTGAGCTAGAACAAAAATAATTTATCACTAATTTTACAAGCAGTATACTGTATACGAAGACAGAGACAATGATGACAGGAAGACATAAAGACAATTTAGAAATTAAATTAAAAAACAACACACTGAGACAAACAGAGGAATTTAAGTATTTGGGAGCAATTTTTACATCAAACGGAAAACTTGACAGAGAAATTAGCTCCAGATGTGCCAAAGCTAATCAAGTAATGGGTCAATTATCTCCCCTGTTAACACACAAGCAGATACCTCGGAGTACTAAAGTGAATCTTATCAGAACTATTTTTTGGCCAACACTATGCTATCAATGCCAAACGTGGACACTTCCATCCTCCAATGAACGTACAATTGTGACAACAGAGATGAAATGCCTTAGAAGAGCTGCAGGAGTTTCAAGGAAAGACAGAATACAAAATCATGAAATCAGACGAATGCTGGGAATAAAGCCAGTCTTACAGGTCATCTAATAACAAAGAATGAAGTGGTTTGGACACCTAACAAGAATGCCCTGGTACTATCCGCCACAGCGAGCCACACTAAAACGTTACAACGGGTATAGAGCGAGTGGAAGACCTCGGAAAATATGGAGTGATGACATTAAGAACAGCCTTACAGAAATGAACATCAGTCTTAATAGTGCTCTTGACAGAGCTCATCAACGAACGTTACATCTCCCCCCGACACTTCGATGAGGTACAAGGTGGAAGGGAAGAAGAAGCAGAAGAAGTATACCGTATAGAACCGCAGCTCTCGGCAGTACCCTATCAACGGCCCCAATGGAACACTGGGAGATGTGCAGCGCACCACAGACTGTACAGAGACCCGTGGCCTTCTCATCTGAAAATAAATGGCAGGCAGAAGGAAGAGCAGAAGAAGTACATAACCTCTTAGATTTAGTTAGCTGTCAGGTACAAATCATGAACACGGGCTAAGAAAGAGACTTCCCTTGCCATTCATCCCTGGTCGTATTGTAGGGCCTGTCCTATGTTGCCGGGGTGTCACGCTTAGTGAGCGTCAACCCAGCCTTAGAGGGATACTAGGAAACACCCTGGAAGGTAAAAGAAGCTAGCATGATGTTGACCACATTGCCCAATTAAAGCCCACGGTCTACAAAAATGTGAGCCTATCACTGTATCCTTGATGCGCTAATGGCAAGAAAAGCAGTTCTTTACATTTCATTTATAACTTATTGTCTACGTCTTCCTTTCTCAGCTTTCCAAGCTTTTGAAGTTCACTGCTCAGATATCACACACCTTAATTTCTTTCTTTGACCGGTTCTCTTTTTCCAGTGGATAACTTCTAGTGTTTATATGTCTGCCTTTATATATACCTCAGCGTCTCTGGCCTAGGCGTTGCAAACATGCTTCATAATGCTGGGGTGCCAGGTGCGATCCCTGCTGCTGACGATTAGTCTTGCGCTGGTTTCGACAGGGGTACCGACAGCAATGGTATACTACTGAATGTAAAATTTGCCTAGAAAAACTACAACAGGCAATAAATGCTGGGGTTGGTTCTGCCAACGTCCTGTAAAGGATACGCAACTAACTACATATTCTTTCCACAGTCTTCATGGTCTGCCTTGTTGTGTAATCATTCAACTCTGATAGTCTTTTTGTGAAACAAATTAATTAGCATAATCAGAGGTAATCTGCCAATTGAAAAATTGATTTTAATGTAACTTGTTACCAATACGGATAATAAATTCTAGGTTTAGATATAGCTGACGGATCAACATCATGGCACAAGAGTAGTAACCACAAAGAGCTTTGTTCTACTTCTGACTCAAGCCTTCGTCCGAAACATCTCAGTGTATTGCACAATC